AAAACCTGTGAGGAAAAAAATTAAAAAAAAACTCGAGTTAATTTTCTAGTAAAACAAATTCATGAAAATGTTTCAGCGGCACCCTACAGGAACAAACCATCATGATAATCCTTCAATTGGAACACTAGAAGCCAAACATGATCTGTTCTAAATGAAAAATAACCGAAAGAACCTTCCCACGATCTCATTAAAAAAAAAGAAAACGAAGTTCAGGAAGAATTTTCAAGAATCGAATGATCATAATCGTTCAGTACGAATAATTAAAGCCAAAATATCAGTCGTCCAAACTGAACGATCACGAATGATTATTTTACTTGGCTTGAATGAGAAAAGGTTTTTTCAACATATTACTTCATCATCTACGTTGAAGTATCGATACTTGTAACAGTTCAGACAAACGATGCACGTCGAATAACACACATCTCTAGAACAAAAACTGAAAAAGATATCAACGCTTCCAATGAAAAAAAAATTCTTCAACTTACTTTCGAAGTGAATTCCTAGAAAAAAAGACTTGATAATCAATTATTTTCCAAAATGTCCATCAAAAAAGAAGCTCTGCTACAAAAGAAATATACAACTATTATTTCCATCGATCTTAATGAAAAATAATTACTGAACTTACTTCCGACGCCATTTATCGAACAGGGAAAGATGACGTTCGAAAAAATCCATATATATCTATCAACACAGAATTTCTCCTAAATAAAAAACGCAGAACAATGCTTTCCATTCATCTAAACATTAAATAAATTTTTAAAGTCACGTCAAACCCGTATTCCTTGAAGAGTAAACGATATTCAAACAGTTCAATCGATGTTACTCAAAATACAATTCTCCTAAATGAAAGTGAAAAATAGCTGTATTCATTAGTTTGAATGACTAATAAAATCTTGAAGTTACCTGTCACGGGTATTCCGTGGATAGTGCATGATATTGAACCAGTTCAATCCATGTAAATCGAAATAGAAGTTCTCCTAAATGAAGATGAAAGATGATTTATGATTTAGTTTGAATGCCAATAAAATCGTAAACTTACTTTTGACGGGTATTTCTTGAATATTAGACAATATTCAACCAGTTCAATCGATAAAAATCAAAATAGAATTTATCCCAAATGCAAATGAAAGATCATTGTATTTATAGCATTAAATGAGTAATGAAATCCTAAACTTATTCTTGACAAGTATTTCTTCAATAGTAGACGATATTCAAGAAGTTCAATCGATATAAATCAAAACAGAATATCTGCTAAATGAAAATGAAAGATCATTTATGTTTTAGTTTAAATGCCAATAAAATCGTAAACTTACTTTTGACGGTTATTTCTTGAATATTAGACAATATTCAACCAGTTCAATCGATATAAATCAAAATAGAATTTCTCCTAAAAGAAAGTGAAAAATAATTGTATTCAGTAGTTTGAATGACTAATAAAATTGTAAACTTACTTCTGACACGTATTCCTCGTAGTGTAGGAAGTTGTGATCATTGATTTTAACGAATGGATGTAGAAGTAGAAGTTCTAATAATTAAAGATTAGGTAGTATAATATGAATTGAGTTTGTAAAGGACAAATTCAATTGATTGAATAAAAGAAATTCATTTTTATCTATTTACAACAAAGACTGTCGTACGATATGAAGGGCTCATTTTTTAAGTCTGATAGGGAAAGTTGAACTGAATAAAAGTATATCTAGAGATGAAAATAAATAGGTTAAATGCAATCAATCTATACGTATTGATTAATTTGAATGAGAAAGAGGTTCAATTGCATCTATGAAAGACATAAAATATACATTATATGCTTAATACATATCAAATTTAAAAACGAAGGAAAGGAAAACGACATAGCTGAGTGAATGAAATTCTGTCAGCTAATAGATTGACACAAGTTCATACGTCATATGGAAAAAAGGAAATAGCTGAATGAATATGATCGAGTCACCTAACGAATTGTCTCAACTTCGTGCTTCATATGGAAACGATATAGCTGAGTGAATGTGATCGAGTCAGCTAATGGTTTGACTCAAATTCGTACTTCATATTAAAAAAAAGGATATAGCTGAGTAAGTGGTATCTAGTCAGGTATCATGGATGTTAGTTGGTTAATGCTTTCGTATATGTCGTGTGTAACGTATTGGTGACGATTGTTAGCATAAGATGGATAGTTGGAGATGTGTGGTGGGTGATGGCCCCTTCAGTTGACTAATGAATGGTGTTGGGTGATGTGAGTTGGTCCTTACTGGACGATGATGGGTAGTTTAGATGATATGTGCTTAGGCCAATGTCATGTCAAGAGAGACTGGTTGATTGTATTGGAATAGGAAGCTAGTATGTTGACAGAATTTGGGTGATAGTTGGAAAAACCAAAGTATGGTAAAGCGATAGAGTCATTCTGATATCGTCTTTAACTTTTCATGTTACTTATGGAAAAGCTGAGGTGGAAGTTTCACGAAGACCATGTGAAGTTCATTGATACTGGGCAACTGTGCGGTGAACGCTAGAAGTCGATGTATCTGAAAAAATGTGATCATCGGATAGCAGGACACATATGCAGTAAGCTGCTCAGGGGGCAGGCGTGATGCATCTTATACGACTGTATCTAGCCAGTAAAAGATCCGTAGAAATTGTGTTTCTTTGTGTGGGAGAAATTGAGTGCCGAAAATTGAATAACAGCTGCTATATGCAACATACATAACCATCTAGTCTGCAATGTGCTAGTGACAAGAATACAAATGTATTCATGTCATAAAATCACTAGTACATTAATTCGAGACAACAACTAGCTTCCGAAAGCGGAAACACATGCATCCTATCCTCGGATACGAGTTGCATGTCAACCAAATTTCACTGTCCTTCAAAACAAAAGATGAATTCAGGTTATTCGGAATTTTCGGCACCGACAAGTAATCACTCCCCAATGGAAATTGAGGATTCTCACCAAGAATATCAAGAGGTCCATAAGAAAGAATTGATTGTACATAGAACTGGTATATCCCGAGCATTCGTACTCGTATAACACTCAATTCATTGTGAAAGAAGCACTTGTGCAGCTATATTTTGGCAATTCGAAAACGAATTTATCTTGAGTTGATGCTACGTCAAAAAGGAGAGGATAAGTTATCATACTACAGAGCCAGCCATTCCGTCTTGAGAATAGTATCTTCATAGTATAGAGTCAGCCATTGTATCTTAAGAGCAGCATCTTCACAGTAAAAAGCCAGTAATTGTGTCTTGAGTATAGCATCTTCATAAAATACAGTCAGTCATTTTCTCTTGAGCATAGCATCTTCATACTAGATGCATTCATACTGTGTTCCGTAGCGTGGAAGAGTTGGCATTGGAGATGTGCTACAATAACTTCCGACGTTGAACGGCAGAACGTCATCACGTAAAAAGCTGCACTACAACAGCCTCCTTGACCTCTTTGTCTCGATCATTGCAGGTTGACAAGTGCTTCGTCGATAGTGTCTTGGGTAATCTAAAGTAGTTGTGCTGTTCAACATTGCGATGCTGAATGGCAGAAGTTCCTCGGCCGAGAAGAGAAGTTGCGTTGAGGCGATGTCTGTCGTTGTTGTGTGTGAATCTTGTCTTGATGTAAGTGTAGTTGATAGTGTCTTGGGTAATCTAGAGTTATTTGTAGGGTAGCTGTGCGGTTCGACATTGCGATGTTGAGTGGCAGAAGGTCGTCGGTCAAGAAGAGCAGTTGCGTTGAGGCGATGTCTGTCGTTGTGGTGTGTGAATCTTGTCTTGGTAGGAGCGTAGTTGATAGTGTCTTGGGTAATCTAGAGTTATTTGTACGGTAGTTGTGCGGTTCGACATTGCGATGTTGAGTGGCAGAAGGTCGTCGGTCGAGAAGAGTAGTTGCGTTGAGGCGATGTCTGTCATTGTGGTGTGTGAATGATATCGTGATAAGAGTGTAGTTGATAGGGTGTTTTGCTGCATTGGCGTGAGAACCGTTTGTGATTTACGGGTGTCTGTGATTGCAGGAGATATTGGGAAGTTTCGGTATGGGGGAAGTTAGCCTACATGGAATGGATGTGTGGTGGACGATAGCACTCTTATAACTCTGAACTTATTGTGAACCAAGCGCTTGGTGATCTTTATTTTTGCGGTTATGAGAGCGGTCCAAGTGGTGTTCTCGGTCCATGTGTTGGCGAGGACAAATTATGATAGGGGAGGTACGTCATCGTATTTTGAGAAGGGTTGTATGTGTGCACTTGTTGGGATAACATGATCTGGTTGTTGGTAATGCATTTTGTATGGATAGCTGTGCTGGTTCAAGAGGATTTCCAATGTTTTTAATGATTGGAAAAAATGCGGCGGATGCCTGGGTGATTGTACTTGGTGGCAAGATGATTTGGTAAGTTGTGGATGGATATTCGATTATACGGTGGTGACCAAGGTAGTTGGAGAGGCAACTATATGAATGCATATTGTGTTGGTATACGGTTCATTGCGTGCCGTTGGATTATATTTGGTAGTTTGTTGTTGCCAAAGGCGGCCAGAAAATTAGATACGGAACTATTTTTTGTCAATGAATCTTTGAAGGCAACGTAGGAAGTATTGAATGTCTGCTGGTAGATGGTAACGGTATAGGTTTTGTCGGCTCGTTGTGAGTTTCAGTACCTATAGGAAGTGGTATAGCTGGAAGTTGTCACAGGGTAGTTGTAGATACAGTGAAGGTGGATATTATCTGTCGTGGCAGCTCTGGTGCATCAATTGTTTCTAATTATCTTTCTATAATGCAGTATTCGTATTGTGTTGTGTTGATATTTTAAATAAAATCACCTAAAGCCACCTGATGAGGCACGTGAGCAAGGCCGAAACAGATAAGTATATGTGTGTTTTCAGTAGATAGTCATGTTGGAGATTGTTGAATCATCGATCTTAACGTGAAAGTTTGCAGCTTTGAGATTTTGAACTTCAGTTTCGTACGAAAGTGTCTAACTGTATAGTGTATTTTGTAGATTATTCTTGAAATCATCATTGTGAAGATGCGAAAGCGAAGTGCAAAGAAGACGACAAGTGTTAAAGCTGGTAAATATCTTGTATAAGCCCTTTTGAGTGTTGTTCTAATGTTTTGTGATTCTAGTGAAACCTAAAGTGGATTGGAGAAGACCGAAAGCTACAAAGGGTGGTTCCTTTTGTAGTGAGTCGCAACAAGATTTAGAAGAATATGCCAATAATCTTGAATTTGAGGTGAATGAGTTATATCACTTATTGGACCGGGAGACGTCAGGTCGACAGAAGTTGGAAGATTCTGTTGATCATTTAACGAAGATGTGTTGTATGCAAGAACGGGCACTGGTGGAATTGAAACGGGATGTTCGTCGATTGAGAGCAATGCCCGACAAAATCGATGTTGCATTAGATTGGGTTGTTCGTGGTGTGGCCTTGGTGCAAGAACATCTTCAGGGGCAGCATCAAGAGATGTCAACAGAAGACAATGAAGACGACAACTGTTCGTCGCATTAGTGTTCTTGTGTTTGTTGTTTGTGTTGGTTGTTTGTGTGTTCTTTATGTGTTGGTTGTTTGTGTGTTCTTTATGTTTGCTGTTTGTATGATTGTTGTGTGCTTTCCTAGAATTGTTCTTATGTGTGCATCAGTGAAATAAAATTGGTTATAATTAAAGTAAGTATACTTTTGCAAACATCTACCATTGTATTCGAGCAGAATATTTTGGCAGATGTTTTTCTTAATTTTGAATGTCCATGAAAAGCAACACTCATTTACACGTAGAGCCGGATGGAAACGACTAGTGACTAATATGCACTCTAATGTATAGATGGAAATCATTTCTGAGACTTGGTCACAATAATGACATATTGAAGTAACTTTTGTTTTGCATCTGTTTCAGATTAACAGATTCAACATTAGTACACCTTTGTCCTGTGAACAATGCCTACAATTATTCGTCAACGAACAGATATCATTGAGTTGAGGCCGTTACGATTTGATGGTCCTGTAAGTATATACAAAAATTAACTCTGTGGTGATAATACGATTATTGTCTTGTTTCTTCTAGAAAGCCCATGGTTATCGTTGGAAAATGATAGCTCTGTTAGACCTAAATGAATTTGGTGAGGTAAATATTGAAAAACTTGATTTTCATTGTTTAGAGGAGACTAATATTTTTTTTCTCTACTAAATAGTTTGTCTTACCTAACTCTCAGACAGTGGTTGAAGTTGGCCTTCTTCCTTGGCCAAGAGAAGCTGGTGGTGTTCCACCAGCCGGTTATGAACATTGTGGCTGCATAGGCTGTGAGAATAAATCCTATGCAGACCATATTCTGAAGAATTTGGACGAAGATGATGACCCTGCTGCTGGTAACATATATTTGGAAGAAGTTTATGTTGATTCGGAAGATGAAAGGTAAGCTATTCTCATTCTTTGACAGTGTCCCGTAGGACTAACTGCACATTATCATATTCTTATGTTTAGTGATGACGATGATGACGACACTTCATCAAAAATTGATGAAAATGATGATGATGATAATGCTTGTGTGCCGCGGTCCATGCCTTCAACATTCACATCGAATTTATGTGAATCAGACGATTGGGAAATTTAATCAATGTTTCATATCATTGTACATATTCCTTTTCGTTTTCTTTTTGTGTGTCTGTGTCTGTGTGTGTTTTAATTGTGCATATGACAATTGAGTCTTTAATTGAAATATAATATTATTCTAGTGAATAATGAAAAGGTATGTTAACATGTTTTTTGGGAAACAAAGCAAGCCCGCCTCCACGTGGTGTTTCCTGGATAGCGCAAAAGGGCCTCTGTACAGTATGTAATATTATGTTGCATGATACATCCTGTGATTGGTATAGCTCAAGTCTTTCGAAACAAAAGGTTATAGGATGAAATTGGTTTACCATAGACGGAGTGATTTTTCGGCAAGGAATGCGCATGTCATCAGATGTACACCTAAAATGAAAGTATAATTGGAATTGTGATGTGCACACGGATTGAACGGTGTTAGTTTTAGTGTCTTACTACTAGCAGCTGGAGTATTTATTTGTGTCTGACAATCTAGTATTAGTAGGTCATTTGAAAGAAGCACCTTTAGGTTAGCCTACCCAGTCTAATTGAAGCGAATCTTTGAAAGATAATCGAACCATCATCTAATAGAACAAGTTATGCGTTCATTGCGAAATCAATGTTCAGTTGTGGTAGTTCTTGCTTTACACTCTATGTTTGAGTGTTAGAAAGTATTCAGAATTAATAAGAATAGAATTGGGCAATGGAAAAGCAAGGCACTTGATGAGGACAATGGAGAAGAGCTAAACTGAATATGAGACCGATATATAACATTGTTATATCATCGAAATAATGCTAAATCTTGTTAGAAATTCATTGCTTGTTTTGAATCTATAAGATGCATTGGGATTGAAAGACAAAAAAAGGGAAACTTATCTTGTTTATTTATGCAATAAATTAACAGTAACCTATAGGAACGATCTAATCGATTGCTGCTTTTTCTTGTAGATTAAAATATTTCATCTAGAAAATATTATGTCTGAACCTGTCATCATCAAAAAAGAGCTCATATATGAGCATATGGAAATGGACCAAGGTAAATAAGGCTCATTTTGATTGCATAAATCTATGCTAAAACATAATATTGTCTACTTTTCTTGCAGATGTAATGGTGAAAAAGAGCAAAAACCTGAAGAGACGACGTTGTCGACGATGACAACGGCAACAGCTTGAACGTATGGTATTGAAGCTCGCTGAAATGCGGCAGGATATTCAGCAACTACGTGCCACAGAGGAGAGCCATAACGGCTTAATTAAAACGTTGTTCCTCAGTCTCGGCGATACTGATTTCTTCGCCGAAAAGTTACAAAAGAAGATAGAACAACAGTCGACGATGTTGAGCGTGTATCAACAGACATGTAGTACCGTGCTCGCCGGGCTTTCAGAGGCGCTGAAAGACATCAGCACTCTGTGTTACACAACAAAATAATTTTTTTTTGTTGTAAATATTGTAAATGTAGTGTGTGTCGTGTGTGTCGTGTGTGTCTTGTGTTTCGTGTGTTTCGTGTGTTTCGTGTGTATCATGTGTGCCATATTGCGAATCGAAGTTCTTCTCCGCTGTGAAACCTGTGTTTTTTATGAAAATG